GCAGTCTTATTTAAAGACAACCGTTACTTGTTCATATCTTCTACCCATAATATTAGCGCTTATTCCATTTTTTTCATTATAGATGCTCTCGGACAAGCAACATTTTTCGCAAGAATAGATGATCCGGATGCGATTAAATTTCTGATCTTTTCTCCCGATCGAATCGTCGACTCATTTAAATTAAAATTCCTACCGATATCAGCTATCCGCGCTTGATATTTAATTCGTCCAAAATTTCTATCTTTGAAGAGTTATAAATTTCCTTTTTAACAGCGGTTCTTTCTTTCCATTGGGCGTTGTTATGGCTAAAATTTTTTCAATGAGTTTTGTGGACAGTAAAAATCGCAAAAAATAACTTCCTTTTGCTATGTTGTTAAAAATATACACCCAATAGAAGTTTATACTGTATTTTGGACCATTTTTGCGGTCCCCACTTATTGAAAGAGTATAAATGACGGAAAATTTAGTGATATATTTGAGTATTTACAGTAACTGATGCACATCTGTCTAGAAACCGGTCTTTCCCTGAAACTTTCAAGGGAATAACATGCTAACGTCCACAAACAGCTGTTTTCAAAGACTTTCAGCTCAGTATGCCGAACTGCGGCTCGTATCACGTGATCCGTTGCGATTTTTCTGTTATGTAAAGATAATTCGTTTCTAAATAGCGTAAACCGCGTTGTAAAAGTACCGTGTTGTAAGAAAATTTCCGCATCTTTCCAACCGTGTTGGATCAGAAACGCGTTGTAAAGGTACCGCGTTGTAGGAGGCCTACGTGTAGTATTACTTAAAGAACACGTTTCTTTATAAAAATGGTCATTTTAATCATATGCTAATAAAAATATCCAGTAAATTAACTATGCATATTGCATATTCAACTATCAAATACAAGAAAAATGTCATTACAATAATAATTTTAACTTTCTCAATCCACAGTAAAACTGACTGAATTTGAGTACTTCCTCTCTAGCTTTATTAAGTTTATTTAAAGTCACATTGTAATTATGTTCTAGTTTCTTGTTAGCATCAGCGAGACGTCTTTTCGCAATCTCAATTTTCTAACTTTCTTTATTTCTCAACATTACTTCTTTAGAAGTCCACTCTCTCACGCTCTTACTAAGATTATAAATACTAGAAGACGTTTAGTTCAAGTCGTAAAGCGAAAAAGTAACAGAAGCATTATTGGACGATGTAATGTTAATTAGTGTTATAATTAATCAATTTTTATGTCAATACATTTCTTATTTTTTAAAAAACTTTTAATCTTTTAATTAATTTACGTATTAGTAAGCAGGGAAGAGTCTGGAAAAAAAAGTCTATCCTGCTATATGTAATTATGTTCCTATGGTTGTAAAGGATGTGCGAAGACATNTATTTGAGTATTTACAGTAACAGATGCACATCTGTCTAGAAACCAGTCTTTCCCTGAAACTTTCAAGGGAATAACATGCCAACGTCCACAAACAGCTGTTTTCAAAGACTTTTTGCTCAGTATGCCGAACTGCGGCTCGTATCACGTGATCCGTTGCGATTTTTCTGTTAGGTAAAAATAATTCGTTTCTAAATACCGTAAACCGTACTGTAAAAGTACCGTGTTGTGAAAAAATTTCCGCATTTTTCCAACCGCGTTGGAGCGAAAACGCGTTGTAAAGGTACCGAGTTGTAGGAGGCCTAGGAGGAGTTACGTTTAGTTTAAGTCGTAAAGCGAAAAAGTAACAGAAACATTATTGAACGATGTAATGTTAATTATTCTTATAATTAATCAGTTTTTATGTCACTACATTTCTTATTTAAAAAAAAAAAAAACTTTGAATTTACTTATTAGTAAGCAGGTAAAAGTCTAGAAAGAAAAGTATATCCTGCTATATGTAATTATGTTCCTATGGTTGTAAAGGATGTGCGAAGACATCAAATTTTTAATTGTATTTAGTGTAATTTTTTAAAATATATTTCATCTTGGATTTTTAGAAATTTTTCAAAAAACATTTCTTAGTTGTTTAAATTCATTTGTAATGCCGATAAAAATTTTCACTAATTTCTGCCTTATTAACCCCACTTAATGAGTTGACATTAGTAAGAGTCTCAAAGCGGTAATAAATGTTTTATAAAATAAATTAAATCTTGTTGTATATATTTCTCTACGCTCACTTTTATTTCTACAATAGAAATATTAAATTCTGGTGGTAGCCCTTACTACATAGGAGTGCTGTATTGTCGATTTGCTGAACATCAACATTCTCTGGCGGTGGGACGGTATGACACTAAATCGTGCAAAATGTCTTACAGTATCGCCACATCCCGCTTTGGGACCGCTCTGTATTACTGAGGAGCTACGGTGAAAGGAGCTTAGTGGAGTCACTCTTCATTACGTCATTGTCCACGTGGAACTCCCCCATCCTCGAGTTGCCAGACATTTGGATCAATTTGTACAAGTGAATACATAATACTAACGAATCACTTATTTCCACGTTCCCTACACCTTTTTATGCGTTTGTTTCAGGGCTGTGGAGTCGCGTAAAAATCTACCTACTCCAACTCCGACTTTTCCTTTCCATCCGACTCCGACTCCGACTGCTATTAGGGGCAGACTTGTTACCGAAAGAGACCCGAAAATTCTGATGTCATCACGTGACCTCAAATAAAATATTCAATAAATAGAGTTGTAATAAAGATAGAGCGTAGAAACTTTTTATTCCAAAGCTAAAAGACTTCTTTAAGTAATATACAGATATATATTCGATAATTTTTACTTCTCCGGCTGTTATATAGGCCTATAACAGAGGAAAAGTGTAGCGCTCCGTCAAAAAATGACCCCTCCCAAATTTTTACATTTTTGGACTCGGGACCCTTTGAAATTTCGAGATATGCAAAAGATTCGAGTTTTTTCTATATGTGTGGATGTTAGACTGTGTGTGGGGGGGCATAATTTCCTTCACCCTGTTTGAAGCCTAATAATTTCTGTGGTCAGAGTGGTCAGAATCGGAGTCGGATGGTTTAACACAGGAGTTAGTTATTTAAGTCAAAGTGGTTGAACTAGATCATGTCCCCATATACATTCTAACATCTTAAGGGAAAACATCTTAATGGGTTTTACTGTACTATTATAAAATGCAAAAAAGCTTACTTTGAGGGTAAAGACGAGGTGTAAGGAACCAAGTCCGAGAATTATTTTTATTTACTTTTATTTTTACTTTTTATTATATTTTTGTTTGGGGCTTATGTTTTGTTAAGACGAGGGTTTCCTCACCATTCACCTTAGAAACTTAAAAATAGAACAGAAACCAACTCACCAACGAGAAAAAAGCGCCGTAGAAAAAACTCACGCACACTTGCGTTCCTGAGCAAAAAAAAAGTAAGTCCGCACCGAGAAAAAGTGGGGGAGACCCTACAAGCATAATTTAGGACTTCGCTAAACCTTAAAAGAATAAAACGTCCCGAAAATTGTCAAAAAGAATAATGTAAAAGGTTAGCGAGTATTGTCGGAAAATAGGCTGCCAGACAAATAGAAAAAGTTTATTGTTAACGAATAAGTATGTAAACGAGGGGAGTGATCAGTCAAAATTGTGACGTCACCTCACAGTATAAAAATCGAATCTCAAGTGAAAATGCCTGAGATGAACTCTAGGTAGCAACGAGCTTTGGTGAGCTTCGTAGCAGTAAACGAGAGAGGTGTCAGATACGATCAAATAGTTCCAAGGCGATTTTGAAGTTATTCGATTTGTGGATCGACGAATAGAGAAAGTCTTGAGAGTTTCGGAAATAGGTTCCTAGTATATTGAGGTGACGATTAGGATCCTTAATTTATAAGAATTATTGTATATAAATTAAGTTTTTGATTTTGTTGCATTCCAAAGGGGAATAGAATAAGTTAGAAACTAGATTGATTTGAGTTTTGTTGGGTTGATTCTTATTGAGTTTCATTGAATAAATTGTTATTTGAATTTTACTAAACTTTGTATATAGTTTATTATTAGAACTTTAATTAAATATTTGATTTGTTATTGACAAACTTTGTCATTATTTAATTTCTGTGCACGCTAAAAGTCCAGGCCTGGCACACTAACGCGAATCCGCGTAAAGTACTTTACAGTTTTATTTTATTTTTTTAAATTTTGAACGCTAATAAGGAGTAAAATATTCATTGAGATATGACACATGACCACTTTTATGTCTTCACTTTGTCGACCTATAATCAAGAACCAAAATTTAATAGTATTAATGCCCCTTTATACGCAAGCTACAGTGCCACGTTTCGTTTCTTAAACTTTACCCGTTCTGAGATATTGTTTAATATCTCAAAACAGAAAATAAGAAAATTAAACAAATTAGACGCCAACACAAACGCGCGCGCGAATTTTTTCCCTTTATTGACTTTTTTGAGGGGTTCAGGAGGTCCCCAAACGTGTAGATTTGAAAAAAAAAAAAAACTTGGAGGGTCAAATTTAACGTTTCCAATACTTTTCCGTTTTATATACATAACAAGTTGGTACATAAAAAGGAGCCGGAGTCGGCGGATTTTTTGACGACTCCGACTCCACAGCCCTGTTTTGTTTCCACGTCTCAAAGCGCACACGCGTAGACACTGCGTGATATTTTTGAAAATGTTTTTAAATTTTATGTTCTAAGTTCCGTATTCCGTTCGTTTAATACTGTTTCGTTTCTGTACTTTAAATTTGTTCTGAAAAAGCATTCGAGTTGAATTATTGCCTGAAGACGATAATTATAGAAATGTCGAAAGAGCTTGGAAAGAATTAAAAATTCTTTAATTAACGCCGTTTTGTGTCATTGTCGAATTATTTATTGTGACATTTATTGTGACATTGCCGAATAAAGTGTCAATGAGGCGGGTGCTCTGAATGCAATGGCGGCGTTATATGGTAAAACGCAAATGTCGCTACCACTGTCGATTAGGTAGTGACGACGTGAGGTTAAATCGTAAACGAATAGGCGGCTGGTGTTGTTAATTTGGAAATGACATTGCGCCACGTGTGATTTCCGAGCTAGTTTCCCTGATCTCGGAATTTGCAAGGAGCCTTACATTTATTTGCTAGATCACCAAACTTCGCGTGATACAAGCATAGGTCTTTTGCCTGGGGTCGAACAGGTGTCTGCAAACGCCGACGATTCCGAGATCGATTCCGGGGGTGTCTATAATCGCGTGATTGTCTGTCGCTGGGAATTGCTAGGCGATTAACTTGCTCAGTTAACTCAGCGACCTGCGGTTGGAGCTTCATTATGGCCGCGTGTGTATTATTTTCGTTCCTTGCTAAATTAGTTTCGGCTATTTGCAAAGGTGTGAGCTCAAGAATTTTATCGGTCATTTGGGCTAATTTGTCTAAATCCCCATCGGAAACAGAAAGAATTGCCTGAGTTTCTTTGGGTAAACGCTGAATCCATAGCGTTCTTAAAAATTCCTCCCCGACTTTATTACTAGCTAGTTGTCGCATTTTGCGTAAAAGATGAGATGGTTTATCATCTCCTAACACGGCATTAGACAGCAAATCTTTCACTCGTTTTTGTTCGGAATCGGAAAATTCTGCTATGAGTCGATCTTTTAGTGTTTGATATAAATTTTCCCTAGGAGGGTTTTTAACGATATCGCTCACGTACGCTAACACTTCCGAGTTGAGAGCTGAAACCACTGCGTAATACTTAGTAGTATCTTGCGATATATCGGCGAGTTTAAACTGGGCCTCGATATTAATAAACCATAAATCGGCTTCTTTCTCCCAAAATTGGGGAAGTTTAAGAGCTACCCGACTGATTTCTGGCTTAAGATCGCTTTCGTTTGGCATTTTAAGACAACCAGGTGATACCTACTCAGCAGAACGGCAAAAGAGATGGAACAGAAAACTCCACTTACCCGTGTTAGATAACTTATTCTGGCAAGAGGTTGCAGACACACAAATGTGGGGACAATTTCGCCGGTTAGGAGTGGCGAGCGGTTCACCTATCCAAAGAGCGTCGTCTATCGTAGTCGCGGAATTTATTCCGTATTATCCACTGAGGGAACACAATGCAGAACTAGTAAACTTGTTCTTTCTTTGGTGTTCGAATTCACATCGAATCACGTTCGGGTCACCACTGGAGGTAATGGATGGCCGCCATCAGTTAGACGAAAACCTGGCCGTCTTTCTCCATCCATTTACATCCCCACAAAGACTGTCTTTATCAGAAGGCTGTAAACGTGAATTAGTAAGTCCACGACCACGTTTTAAACTAAAACAATATTTATTTACAACAATCCTTGAGTACACTTGAAAGAGAGCTACACGTGCTCATGGCAGCGATCACCCGGCCAAAAGAAGAAGCAACAATACCCAGAATTCTCTCTCTGAAAAAGACCCAGTTCCCGTTTTTCTATCCGGGATTCACGGGAAACTCGTATAGGAGTGGCGCCATCTCACCAGTCCGTGATTTGTCGCCGCAGTTGATATACAATGCCAGAATACGACCCAGTTCACGTCGGGCCTCCGCATATTTCGAGCAATATAACCAAAAATGACCCGGTGTCTCTGCTTCCCCACAATGAGGGCAGTCTGGAGTTGGGAGTAAGAAAGCCCCGAGAGTGAAGGAACGCGTTTAAAGGTTCCGTTTCTGTCCGAAGGCTGGCAAACAGCGTCTCCGCCCTCCGAGTCGACGCTAAATTGTACGGCCAGGAGTCAAAAGGCCGGAGGTGGTCTCTCCCCTTGTTCGTATGTTTCTCTCCGACCGAACATCCCTTAGTATGTTCTGTATCCGATCGCTCGCAAGGCGATAGATGTCCGTGGGCATAAGAGTCTCCCCATGAGTTTCACTTTTACTTGAATTTATACTTTCTATTTATAGGAGACTGGCGGCGAATTACAGAACGATTCCGCAGCCGTAGTTCTGATTTTTAGCACGAGATGCCGCTAGTGTCGTGAGGTTCAGGTAGCTTATACCTCGGTCTGTACGATGTGCTTGGAATTTTTTGTCGATATTTTAGCTTTAAAACCATACTTTCTCATTCCATACTTTATCAGCTTGCCCTTCAAATAATGCATTCGACTGTCAGGTGATGCTTATGTTGACGTCTCTGTTATTAGTGCCTTTTCGTCGATTAATGCTGATAATTTAAATCGTACTTCAATATATCTTTTAGGGTTTCTCATTTCCCGGTATTTTGCTTGTCCCGGGATCCCGGGATAAAAGTGAACAGTTTCCCGGGATCCCGGGAAATCCCGGGATAGAATTAATTACTTTTAAGGTATACAAAATATCTTGAAATCAAATGATATAATTATTTTCCATTTTTTAAAGTAATTTTNGGGATAGAATTAATTATTTTTAAGGTATACAAAATATCTTGAAATCAAATGATATAATTATTTTCCATTTTTTAAAGTAATTTTAAAGTTTTGTAACCTCCAAAATCATATTAATAATGCTGTGTTAGGTCTATAGGCCTATAATAAAAATTACCTTTAAATAACGTAGAAATTTTCACAAATAGAAAAAAATTAATTAAAGTTTGCTGGAAACTGCATACAACAACAACAAAAAAAATGTTGTTAAAAAATGTTGTCCGGGATTCCGTTTCAGAAACCCTAATATCTTTCCACTACTTCTTCGCAATCTTTTTCTTGAAATACTGATTGTTCATCTGTATCATACATGATTATATTGTTACTTATATGAAGATACTCTTTCCACTTATCGTCTAATAACATGATTCTTGTGCTAAGAATAGGAATAGTTGCATTTTGAGCTTCACTACCAAAGGCAAAATTATAATGTGTTGTTATGCTTTGTATAATAACCTTACGTTTTGTTTTTAGTTGCGAGATGTCCATGATAAATACTAACTTGTATCTGCGAAATGAATTCTTTACTAAACTCATTAATTATTATGTATTGTGGCTTTCTTTATGTTCGAGAGACCAGAAAATATAGAATTCAAAGAACTTTCCATCTATAATGTTAAAAAATAAATTAACATTGTGGTTTAGCACTCAAATTACTTTATTGATTACAGTAGATCCCCTATAACACGTAGATACGTTCCACGTTATCCGAATTTCGCGTTGTAGGAATCCTTAAATACATGAGTCAATCACAGCCCGATACGTGTGCAGTTTAGGGACTACGGCTATTTGAAAGGTTTTCTTCCATAAAATTAATCGATTCTTGACTAATTCGACTCAACATTTCCAAAACACGTATAATTTTTTCGAAATAATCCGTATAAACTATGCTATAAACAAAAAATTGTAGGATTACTTACCGAGTGTGCACCGTTCGACGTTGCCATTGCTTAAGCATAGTTTCGTCGCGGAGAAGCGCATCAAACGGCGGCCGCGATTTCTGTTAAATTATTTTTCTGCGAAAACTTCGTTGAACTTTGGAGACATCATTAATAGAAATTATTTTTATGGCCGTTGAATAAAAAATGTTTCTTTCACAAGAAATGTATAAAATTACAGTGCTGTATTAGACTTACGGTACCTAATTTACATACTGTACAGACGATAGTAAACCCAACTTACTCGCCTAAACTCTCCGTAGTGTGGCGCTGGATGGCGGAAAATATATATATAATTATAATAAAGTTAAAATGAATTAAGTTGATATTGTACAGTCGACAATAATACTATACAGACGATAGTAAACTCAACTTACCTGTCTAAACTCTTCATAGCGCGTTAGTAGTTTGGCTGCTCGTCTACTATTTGTCCAAATTCGACTAATCCTGTCGCAACACAAGTTGGCGATGACGTTTTACCGCGTTTTACGCGACTCTTTTAGCGTCTTTATACGAATACTGTCGCAAATTTTTCGCCGCATTATTGGAATCTGCGTTATAGGAACCCGCGTTATAGGGGGTCTAGTGTATTCATTTTTACTTGCTTATGAAATACAGTAGATCGTCGATTTTCCGAAAGTCAGTCATCCGAAACGTCAATCATCCGAAAGAATTCCAGTCAGCAAACTTAAATTTTTGCCAGTGTTTGTCGCTTTAATCTTTGGCTATGTCTTCGGATACTCAAATATTTTACGTTTTTGATACTAAATTAACATCTGAAGTATAATTTTTTATTACTTTTATATTTTTCAATATATTTATTTTGTTTGTACAGAATAAAAAAATNAATTACTTTATTGATTACAGTAGATCCCCTATAACACGTAGATACGTTCCACGTTATCCGAATTTCGCGTTGTAGGAATCCTTAAATACATGAGTCAATCACAGCCCGATACGTGTGCAGTTTAGGGACTACGGCTATTTGAAAGGTTTTCTTCCATAAAATTAATCGATTCTTGACTAATTCGACTCAACATTTCCAAAACACGTATAATTTTTTCGAAATAATCCATATAAACTATGCTATAAACAAAAAATTGTAGGATTACTTACCGAGTGTGCACCGTTCGACGTTGCCATTGCTTAAGCATAGTTTCGTCGCGGAGAAGCGCATCAAACGGCGGCCGCGATTTCTGTTAAATTATTTTTCTGCGAAAACTTCGTTGAACTTTGGAGACATCATTAATAGAAATTATTTTTATGGCCGTTGAATAAAAAATGTTTCTTTCACAAGAAATGTATAAAATTACAGTGCTGTATTAGACTTACGGTACCTAATTTACATACTGTACAGACGATAGTAAACCCAACTTACTCGCCTAAACTCTCCGTAGTGTGGCGCTGGATGGCGGAAAATATATATATAATTATAATAAAGTTAAAATGAATTAAGTTGATATTGTACAGTCGACAATAATACTATACAGACGATAGTAAACTCAACTTACCTGTCTAAACTCTTCATAGCGCGTTAGTAGTTTGGCTGCTCGTCTACTATTTGTCCAAATTCGACTAATCCTGTCGCAACACAAGTTGGCGATGACGTTTTACCGCGTTTTACGCGACTCTTTTAGCGTCTTTATACGAATACTGTCGCAAATTTTTCGCCGCATTATTGGAATCTGCGTTATAGGAACCCGCGTTATAGGGGGTCTAGTGTATTCATTTTTACTTGCTTATGAAATACAGTAGATCGTCGATTTTCCGAAAGTCAGTCATCCGAAACGTCAATCATCCGAAAGAATTCCAGTCAGCAAACTTAAATTTTTGCCAGTGTTTGTCGCTTTAATCTTTGGCTATGTCTTCGGATACTCAAATATTTTACGTTTTTGATACTAAATTAACATCTGAAGTATAATTTTTTATTACTTTTATATTTTTCAATATATTTATTTTGTTTGTACAGAATAAAAAAATAATTTTTAACAATATAATAGTCTTTGTTAGGCTTAACATCGACGAAAATTTATCGCGAAGCGACACGCAACAGAGAAAAATTTCGGCATCGGATACGTTAAACTATTTTTTCGTACGTAAATCAGTTATCCGAAATATCAGTTATCCGGACAACCCCAGTCCCCAATTGATTCAGAAAATCGACGCTCTACTGTATAACCATAATTTCATTAATAACGTAATTATTTTTAATAAGTAGTATTTCACTTATATCGCGTTTCATAACAATGCTTATAATTAACGTAATGCCATCTTCTATTTGTGTTTGGAATTTGAGGCCCGAAAGTGCCATTATGCAGATGTTCACAAAAAGCTAAAAAGTGGGAGCAGACCTGTCCAGTGTTCCACCACCTAATGATCAACACGAACCTCTTTAACTAGAAGAGCAGTACTATATAACGCAAAATCTTATCAGTGCGGTGTTCGGATATGTCGGGCCCCGTCCCTCACCACCGGTTGTCCCATTGTGGGCCTGGCAAAACCTAATAATGGGCCTGCTATAAGAGGCCCTCT